AACAAGAAAGTAACACAGAAATATATTACCAAATTTAGAAATTATGCATGCAGATTATTAGCCGGCTAACATCACTAATATCAACAATGTATGTTCCTTCTGGCGATGCATTGTATAAATGGTAATTACACATTCTAAAATAATAGAAATAAAGGGGTAAGATCATAAAAATCACATTTAGTCACCTGATTATTATCACTTACGATATACTACAATTCCGTAACTTTCTATGAATTTGATTTTATCTTCAGTGGCTCCACATTGAAGGAAATATAGTCTCTGATAGAACATGGAAATTTGAATTGCTATAGAATAAATTTACATTAATAATGTATTAAATTACAACCATCTCAACATGAATGAATAAACTCACAGACCTTTGAAGACTTTTTCAATGTCCTCACCTAGTTTTTTAAAGTCAATTTCAATTGCACTACCAACAACTTCCATGAAACCAATCTCCAAGTCCGTTGTATTTAAACTGATTTCAATGATACCATCTTGGTTACAACCAAGGCAGATACAAGATTTTTGTTGTTCAGTTTCATTTCTTTGTTTTTTTGTTAACATATTCTCAATTTTGCCACTAAGTATAAAGGATAAGTAGACATTAATATTAGAGTTCAATGAAAAATCAGCATTTTGCAGTGAAATGTGGAACCCATGTTCTGAATCGAATGGTATCTAAATCATCAAATGCTCATGCTAATATTGGTGAAATAAAATCTTCGTGGTAAAAGAACTCTGACTGCTTGGAATCTGTGAGTTTATTTAATGGCGCCTTGAAATTGAGTATGCTGAAATGAAAGCAGACAATACTGATTAAACTAGTTGGGCAAATAACAACAGCTATTCAACAAGTACATACAATTGCTTATACAAATCTTGTACCCATAAAAGAATGTAATGCTGTTTGTAGTTGAAGACACCATTGTATGGCTTCTCCATAACAATGTCAAGATTCATCAGAACATCATCAAGCATTGATTTAGGCTCAATGAAAGCCCCACCATAAGTGTTCAAAAGAGGTTTTATAATTTCTTCCCATTTGGGGTCATATGTATTAAATTGATATGATCCTTCAGACTAAAAAGTAAGGTTAATATAATATCCTGGATTTTCATGAAACTGTAGAAAATATACATACAGTATCCCAGAAACCTTTCAACAATTCTTTTTCACTGGTTGTGAAGATTTTATTCACTGGGTTTGCCGCATTTCGGTCAGAAAGATCAATGATTTGATATTCAAACAACCGATGTGTGGAATTCTTTACTTTATTTATAATCTCACATAATTCATTTGTGGTGGTATGAGTGTACTGTGAAAATAGAGTATTAAGTCAATTAAGTCATCAAGAAAAATAAAATAGTATTAGATATAGCAGATACCTCTTGAATCATTTGAGTTTTTAAATATTCACACTCTGCAATTTCATTGTACTCTTCATCAACAACAATGTCAGGGGAATTGTGTAATGACTGATGCAATTCAAGAATACAAAAGATGATGAATACAAGTTTACTTGAATAGTTAGTTTTGAATAGTTAGTTATTAATACATCATTACCTTCTTTGATGGTGGCTGCATTTGATTATCATGATTATTATCATCATCAAACGCTTGTTTATTCCTCATTTCAGGTTCCACAGATGCAATTGTAGAAACGATTTTCTCTAAGTTTGAAAGAGCACCTTTGTTTAATTGCGCTGCAGTGTGTACAATTCCATTCACCTGATATGAATATAAATTATAGGAGACTGAAATGGAAAGATTATTCAAATCACAATAAACCACATATTATAAGACCTACCTGAACTTCTGTCATTTCTGCCTGAGCCTGCATAAGACCCAATTTGGATTGTTCTTCAAGTAACTTTGCTCTTCATGTTAATATTTTCCTTCTGTTCATGCATCTCCCAGAAGATTTTTATTTGCTTCATCTTTTTGGCACTCTTGTATAAAGAAGGTAATAAATTAATGAAATATATCCATTGTCATGTATAATAGAAAATAGGAAAAACCACAGACGAACAAGCAGTCTTTCCCTTATGAACAAGCAGATCAAAAGGTAGTCCACGAGGACCATTCTGGACCAACAAGCAGTTTTTTTCCTTTACAAACAAGCAGATCGCAAAGTAAGTCCATTAAACTATATGCACGACACACCATTGGAAGATGTGCACACCAACAAACAAGCAGTCTTTCCCAATACTAACAAACAGATAGTATGGTAGTTGGTGAGGCACAAGAGTTGAACAGACCTTTGAAGTGAACAAATAAAATACAGGTAAATATAAACATGCCTTAAAAGCTAGTCTCCATTTTTTTACTTTTTCTCCAATTTCAGATATTTTGGCATAATGTGAACTAATGGTTAACAACTCATTATTGTAATTATCATGCTCGATTTGCATATCCTCCAAATCACTGGAACGAAGCCAAAAATCCAAAAATTTTTTGAGTGTAGGTTCTTTAGTGTTTTCCCAAAAAAACTACATAATTATAAATCACAGATTAAGAATGGGAAACCCATAAAGTGTTACATGTTGCATCACTTTCCTTACCATGGTAAAACAAATCATTAAGACACTCAGGTGTTAAATCCATTTTGGAGAAGTTAGTATTTTCTTTGTTTATTCAAATAGTTAATGTGTTGATGATGCTAGACTGGGGAAACCAAACAATAAGGATTTTGTGTCATGTAAACATGCAGATCAAATTTTTATTAAAATCTAAATACAGAAGGGTACTTTTTTTGTGATACACAGTACCTTCTAAATATAGTATATGATTTTCAATGTGACTACAGTCTGCCCTTGTTTCAATGAAGTGGCTGGACATATAAGAAAATTTTATTCGACATTCGTTGAAACAAAGTTACTAATCGCGTTTCAATGAATTTTTATATGTTTTCATAATGTGTAACAACATTTTTAAAAATTCGTTGTATCAAAATTTTAATTATACTTCGTTGAAACAAGGGTTCACTGTAATTGTGAAATCACATTGACTTCTGGTGATGTATTAGCACCCATGTCAAATAATTTTTTTTTAAAAAAAATTTTATTATATGTATATATACACATGTATACAAAAAATTTTTTCGAAACAATTATAAAGTAAACAAAGATAAATTATAATAAAATTAAAATTAAAGGTAGAGCTAAGATTGATCATAATGTAAAGGAATTATATGTTTTGGTAAGAGATTTTATTATAAATAAATAAATAAATTCTAATTTTGCAAAAAAAAAATTTGAATTATTTGTTTTCATAAAATTTTTTTTAGATTAGAGCCTTTCTTAAAACAACCCTTAGTTCTTTTTGGATCAGATTTTTTATTCTATTGTCCTCATCACCAATTATCTCCTTTTCTTCCTTTCTTTTTATTCTTTTTCTCTTTTTAATTTGTTGTAAGTTTCTTCAAATAAGGTTTTTGTCTCTTCATACTTATTGGAATATCATCAATTATTTGAGTTATGGATTTAAAACTATCTAAAAGTTTGATATGATTTTTTTTTTGTATAAACAACTTTACCTTGAGTTATTGGTATATTGGAATTTAGAACTTTAATAAGATCACTTGCACTGCCAGATATTGTTGTGGTTGTTGATAAATACCAACAACATTACTTAATAATAATTAATATTGTCATTAATCACTTCTTCATACTATCTTTTAGATAACATACTTATGTGGAAAAAATGTCTGCAAACTGTTCCTTCATGAGATAAAAGCATGCATGTACATAAGTAATGTATATAGTATGTGACTGGTATATAGTAAACAGTGGTATGCAACTTGTATATAGCAGTACAGTATATATTAGTATGATATGCGGCTAGTATACTATTACCACTAAAAAAAATTTTTTTATTGATATTAGCAATTATTATTAAACTTTTACGACACATAAATGCACCCTCTTGGAAACATATCACCACTCATGAACATGAATTTAGAGAGGTGTACATTTAGAGAAGATTTAATAAGCTCACTATAAGCTTGAAAATGAGGCGTACTATTTTACCATTCGTGAGACATTACTAAATTCAATTGCTTTATTTTCCGTGAGACATTATAAATTCAATTACTTTATTTCTCGCAACACATTATTAAATTCAATTACTTTATTTTTCGCGACACATTACTAAATTCAATTACTATTATTACTATTGCATTATTTTTCGCGACACATTCTAAATTCAATTACTATTACATTATTTTTCGCGACACATTACTAAATTCAATTACTATTATTACTATTGCATTATTTTTCCCGACACATTACTAAATCAATTACTATTACATTATTTTTCGCGACACATTACTAAATTCAATTACTATTACATTATTCGCGACACATTACTAAATTCAATTACTATTACATTATTCGCGACACATTACTAAATTCAATTATTTTATTTTCCACGAGACATTACTAAATTCAATTATTTTATTTTTCGCGACACGTTACAAAATTCAATTACTATTACTATTACTTTATTTTTCGCGACACATTACAAAATTCAATTAGATTATTTTCCGCAAAACATCACTAAATTCAATTACTTTATTTTCCACGAAACATTACTAAATTCAATTACTATTACTTTATTTTCAGCGAAACATTACAAAATTCAATTACTTTATTTTCCGCGAAACATCACTAAATTCAATTACTTTATTTTTCGCTTTATTTTTTTTCTCCAAGATATACAGTAGCCTTCTGTATATCTTGAAGATCATTACGCATTTTTCCTTTATTTTTTCTCCAAGATATACA